TGCTGGTGGCCGCCCAGGTCGAACGTCGTGAACCGCATGCTGCCTATCGACAGCTCCTCCGATGCTGCACACACACACAAGCTGTATTTACTAATTTATAGGAAAAATTCTCACAATAGTAAAATGTTAGTTCTGCAACACAGTTTTGTGCTTTTTAATCTTATTTCTTACTAATATTGTAGATGCGAAATTTTAGATGGATGGATGTTTGTTAGAGTTTAACATTTAAGCATCTGGAAAACACTAATTTAGATTTTTTTCATTCTGCACAGTCACAGGCAATAGTTAATTTATAATAATTGCATTTACAAGCAATAAATAGGAAAATTTCACACTAATTTGTAAGTAAAATTTATGTGGCATTATTTATTACACAAATAGCATCATGATTTATTTATTTAATGGATTCTCATTAATGATATGACATTACATCATAAATTAGAAAGTCAATGCTTGCATTCATTAGCAAGTACAAGGACTAGTTCAATAATGTACTAATTCATGCATATGTACTACTAGCTGTTGCTCGCGACATCGCCTGCGTGAAATTATAAAAAAAAATAAAAAATGTACCCTATGGTACACATTGATAAAGTAGCTTTTTAACAGTGAAAGAATTTTTGAAATTGGCTCGGTAGTTTTTGAGTTATTTCAATACATACAAAAATACCAATCTTTCCTCTTTATAACATTATTATATGTATATAAGCTTATTATGTAGTACCTCAGACATTAGTATTATGTATGATATACTAATATTATAAAGTAGAAAGTACTATATTTTAGTACATATTTAAATAACTAAAAAACTACTGGACGGAATTCTTTCACCATCAGAAAGTTATGTTATTGTTGACTAACAGGATATATTTTTAAAAGTCATGTAGACAAAGTTACAAGCAACAGCTAGTAATGTACATATTAGATGAAATATTTATCTTAGACAAATTCTCATTCACATAATTTTTTTATAAACAATGAACTTTTACAGTACATAAGGCAACTTCTTCAAAGCGACAACATTAAAATACTTGTAGAGTTAATAAATATTATTCATAAACTAACTGGGGTGGAGTGTGGGCACATGCTGTGCCAGTCTGTCATCCTTCAGCATGTGCAGGAGTGTTGTTTTGCCCGCATTATCTAGACCCAGGAACAATAGTTTGCCTGATTTCTTCCATAATCCTGTGAAACAAATGAAACATAGCTGTAAATAAAATAAATGCTCTAAAAATAGACATATGTTGATATTTTAAAATATATTAAGAATGATTGACTAAAACTAATGACTAAACTAAAACTAATGAAACACTACTTTCTATTTTAACATTATTGTATGTATTCTGAATAAAAAAAAATTGTAACAATCACAAAATTTGTGAATGACACTACCATTTTTATTGTTTTTAAAATTTCATATTCTTTAAACTTGGTAATGTTAGACAAAACAATTAGATCATTTTGCAAAAAAGTATTCTTATCAAAGCATATGAATTAAACATAATCTGTAAGTAAGGTCAAAGTTTTACACTTGAATTTTAATGAAGTTGAGCAAACATTATCATTCATAAAATAATTCGCAAATATCTGGTGAATTTAAAATTAACAATGATGTAACATACTTTTTAACTTATGTGATTACAAACATTTCAGAAAGTAAGTCTGTAAATAAAGTAAATACAATGACTTTTGATCATAACACAACTTACCCAAAAATCCTAGGACACCAGTGAACCAATCCAAGATAAACATTTTTAATCTGGAATTAGGAAATAGTATTAATTTCAGCACATCTCTTCAACTTCTGCACAAAGGCTGAATAAAAATTGATGACTTGCAAATATTTATGTTATCTACTGCGTAGTTTAATTTGGCATCACTGTATCACGATGATAAATCATTGAAGAAGGCACACAAGTTCAAGTTTCTTCAAGGTGCTGTGGAAATATTCTTTTGTGAATTGAGTAATATGACAGGACGTCATTTGCGTTGTCGAAATTGTACCAAATATCACAAAAAAACAAATGAAATACTCACTTATTAAAATTGAACTAGATTTACTAACGCTAAAGGAAGTTATCACAATATTTCGCACGTTTTTTATCACGTTTCGTCGTTAAAATCGACGAATTTTACTATCAAGAGTTAGTGTATGCGACGAAATATCAATCTGTTGGCAATGAATGACGTATGCTACTTCCGGAAGTTGTCACATTGATAAGGTTGTCACCTTCTACAATGTGAAATTCGAAAAAAAAATCCCCCTAATATTAAAATAGAAAAATGTATTTAAATAGCAGTAGTACAATTTACATTCCTCACTTTGTAATGATACAAAACATTTAAATTTTTGCTTTGTCTTTTAACGAATAGTGTCACGTTAAGGATTAGGGCATCGTTTTCGTAATTAAAGATAAGAATGGTAAGACTATGTAGTTATTTCTACTACTAAAAACCGTATCACTTCTCAATTATTGTGTAATTTATATTTTGTGTTCCCTTCATTAGGGGGCTCTAGAATAATGCTTTAATTATCTACATTTTTCTTAATGGCAAACAGATTTATTTGACAGTGACATTACTATTGTAAAGCTGGAAACACCGGCATCCGGAAGTCTTTTTAGTGTTTGACAGCTTTTAAAGCTAAAGGTATTTTCAAGTTTTTCTTTAAATATGTTAAGAAATCAGTGAATTTGAACAGGAATATGATGTCCGTTTTGTAGACTAGTATTATGTTAATATATAAGTAACGTTTTATAGCAAATAGTGCAAAGATTACTCTGATTTTTTGTGGTTATAAATCGGTGCTGCAAAGTGTTGTTATTTTCAGGATAAACCATGGCTCCAAGAAAAAACAAAGTTGCAAAAGAAGAGGTCCAGGTTACCCTGGGACCGCAACATTTGGTGGGTGAAACCGTGTTCGGCGTAGCTCATATTTTTGCATCTTTCAACGACACATTCGTCCATGTCACTGACTTGTCTGGTCGGGAAACTATCGCCAGAGTCACAGGTGGAATGAAAGTAAAAGCTGATCGTGATGAAGCTTCACCATACGCCGCTATGTTGGCTGCACAGGTTTGTAAAAATCAAAATCTCGATAATACCTTGCACTATTCATAACCTCTTCTGCACTCTGTTTACTATTAAAACCTCAGTTTATAAGATAATTTCTAGTTAGTTCTTCATGAAACGTATTGTATTGAATATAAGAACTATACAAGATGCAACTAAACTAATTAAAACGTACAAATGCTTATAATTTGTAAACAAAAGATGCTTATTTCAAAGTTTATGTATTGAAAATCATCAATCTGGAGAATCTGTTTTGTGTTTTGATCATTATGCTACTTATAATGTAGTAACAGGAACATTTAAAAAATATTCTTATGTCCTCAATGCAAAACAAGGATAAGTGAGTAATTTCTGTTGTAGTGTAGAATTTTTATTGTTTTCTTAAATAAACTAAGATAAAACTGTGTCAAGTGAAATACAAATAAAAAATAGTTTGAAATTGATATTTATGGGTAATGGTAAAATGGTAACACTTTTTTAAGTTTTGTTTGTGTGTAATTTTAATAGAAAAGTTAGAGCTAATTATATTTATCTTATAAACTGTGTATTTTTAGTAAATAAAACAAATTTATTAAAACTAAATGTGGGAGTAGAATATTATAGTGAAAACAATTAATAAAAACTTTAATAATTTTCCAGGATGTTGCTGAGAAATGCAAAACCCTTGGAATCACAGCTCTGCACATCAAGCTGCGTGCGACAGGTGGCAACAAGACAAAGACCCCAGGACCTGGTGCACAGTCTGCTCTGCGAGCATTGGCTCGCTCCAGCATGAAGATTGGCCGCATTGAGGATGTCACTCCAGTGCCATCAGACTCTACGCGCAGGAAGGGTGGTCGTAGAGGACGCAGGCTGTAATTTTTTAGTTTAAGGCAACTGTGGACTACAATAAAAGTGTTTACAGTTTCTATGTGTTTTATTTTCTGTACTGAGAATGCTAGAATGAAATGTTGGGGGCTGCAGAATGAGAAATTACTGGAGACTAATTTTTTAAGCATCAATTAGATAATGCCCAAAGCTCAGATATTTGAACCAGCCACTGCATAGTTTACTTCTAACATAGCCTTTTTTTTGTTCTCAAGGACAAATAAAACAAGAATATTGTGAAACATTGTATGTTATTTTTATATATTATCAATGAACGATTCAATACCGATAAACAAATTGTTAACTACTAAATACTACAACCCCACAATGACAAAGTGATTTATCTAAAGTTTCAACTGCAAATAGACATTTAACATATTTTTTTGTTTTATCTAAGTCTAAAATTATTGCACAGGTTAATGTTGGCGTTAATAAAACATTCATAGAAATTTATTACAAGATTGATCTATCATACAAAACGATCGGCCGAAAATTAAATCAATTATGTTGTATTTTTCATTCATTCCATGAGTTTCCACTCCTAAAACATCTGCATAAATCATGTTAGTATACAAAGGTAGTGAGAACTCACGGTTAAAATCAATTAATTCTATTTATACATAAACAGATTTTGTGACCTAAAATTTTAAGTGCTTATGACAATGACGTCATATAATTTTATGAGATCAATAGACAGATATCAAACATGCTCCTTGAGCGCACTAGCCTAGACCTCTAGACACTACAATTTACAACATCCATTTATAAAATAATTACATATACTATTTCTTTACAAACCTAATTGTGTTACATAAAAATTTAAATAAACATCTCCAAAATTACCTTGTCTGTAATAAACGATACATTCTCATTTAATTAATATTCAGCTTCCTATAAAACAACTACGATCTATGCTATCGGCATTAAATTGTTATACATATAATTCGCTATTCACTAAGTTTAGTAAGAAACATTTTATATATATCTACAAGAATCACAAAAATATATTAAGTTTTTTTTTAAATATGGCAAGTATCGAAAAACACGAAGTTTTCGCCTCAAACGTCGTGAAAGTATATAATTTAACATAATTCAAAATACAAGGTTCAATCAACAGGTCTGTTGCGATGTGGAAAAAAATAGTTGCCTTACGCAAAAAAAAGCAGTCTCAATAATGTCATATTTTTTTATAAAATTCGTAAAATGTAAACGTTTTTTATTTTCTTTATACTAAATACATTATAATGAAACATTTTAACT